ATCATCCCAAAAGGATTTAACCCATCTGACGTTGGAACTCCTACCCTGAACATCTCTATGGTATCACCTTTTTTCATTTGATTTTTTTTTCTTCCAAAATCACCAGTTCTAAGACCAGTTTTAAAGATGGACCTTATTGGGTTCTAGGCAAGGTGAACGCTGCAGGAGATATTCAGTGGACCTTAGAGATGGGGGCAGCTGAGGATTGGTTGCGGGTGTTGGTAGTTGTAATTCCAGCACGTCTGAAGACTATCTTGTTCTTGATCTCCTAGGTCAGAGGGATATCAACTGAGGCCCAGGGACCATGCTGGCTTAGAAAAAACTTGGATTCAGTCCTAGAGAAGTCATAACCAAATTGCAATTTTTAATGCGACTAGAGAGGAACCCAGTTAACTATATTTAATTTTAAGTAAGTGTAACTAAATCAAGTTTTGTTTTGAACCTGGCGCCTGTGCTGCATTTTGCTTTAGGGCCCATGGCATGCTTCTCAAAGACCGAGTGTGCTTCTTTCTCCCCCCAGAAGCTGATTCTTGGTAAGATCTGATCTCCTCAAAAGCTCACACAACATTTTAAAGTACCCCCTTCCCTCCCCAAGTCAATGTTTCCAGTAGAATTTATGGAGGAATCCACAGATGCTCCTTGCAGAAAGCTTCTGGTAGTTGGTTTGTAATCTCCTAGGTATTTCCAGGATGACTTGCATGCACCAACCTGCCATATCATAACTGCACAATAGATTAGAATCGCAGGACATTGTTTGTCAAATTGTGTTGGCATACGGGAGATTGACACTCACATTCATTCCAAGAAGAGGCGTGAAGCCGGAAGAGGTACCTCTACTTGTTCAGATTGCTGGCTCGCTCTTTCTCAGACCTCAGCGTTCTATGAACATGAAGTCAATGCAATCAAACTAGATTCTTGATAAAAGCAAGATACACTTTGGAAATGTAAAGATGGGAAAATGCTTTTCGAACATGTGTGACGGCGAATTATGCCTTAATCACTTCCCATTTAGATTATTGGGATGTGTGCAGGTGTAAAACTCAGCAAGCGTAAAATGCATGTGCTTCAGTAAATCTGCACAGCTCTTCGTCCACTGCTTTATCTTTCCCTGCAATTCTTTTGATGTTGCATGATAGCAGTGGACTAGATTAGGAAGGAGGAGAGCAGAATCAGAATCAGAGGGGGGGGGAGGAGGAGGGGGAGGAGGAGGAGGATCAGGATCAGGATCAGGATCAGAATCAGAATCAGAATCAGAATCAGAATCAGAATCAGAATCAGAATCAGAATCAGAATCAGA